TGGGAGTTCACGATGCAGAACATCGCTGTGCTTCTTTCACGCCGGACGTCGCCAACCGTGTTCATGCGCCAGCTACGATAAGCGCACTCCGTTTTGTGTGTTGGACGTGCGTGCAGTGCGGGGTCACGCGCTCTGTGGTTTGATTTGAATCTGAACGTTTGCGAGTCCTGGGATGAATGCGGTGTCGCTTGGTACCGCTCCTTTGCTGCCTGTGTCTCTACGGCCCGCATCTCCCTCGGGTGCCGGGGTGGCACGGCGTGCTGTCATCCCGTCGACCCGGCTGGCAGCGGTGGCCAGTGATATCTGAGCCGAGCCTCGGGCCCCGCTTCGCCGAACTGTATTGACCAGTGTGGTGAAGTATGGTCAAACGACTCCTATGATCAACACTTGCGGGGTGAGTGGATTGACAAAGGGCTGTAAATTATTAGCATTGTTGTATCCACAGTTATGATGGCCAGCTGCTCCAGATTTGACCGTCTAATAGTCTTGAATAATTTTTCATGCTTTCCCATTTGGCGCCTTATCCTGTTGTACAAATCCCTTGGTGCGTTTTGAGCCAATACAAACACACAGCTATGAGTTACCTGGGGATTCCGTGCTTTGCAAATGCATGTTACCTTCATCAATATATTATATGTGGCTTTACTTTCACGCATCCATTGCGTGCACGTTATTTTTGTTTTATTTATCCACAAAAGCCTCGCTATTTTTCAAATGGTTCAGGTCTTTGTATTGGATGTTTCACCACATACTTGATATATATATAGTGTGGGAGAAAACAAGAATACTTAGAGACGAACTGTGTGAATTGGTAAGCAATGCCCACACAGAGTGGTTAGTAACTTAGTTTTCGTTATCATGATAATATTACACAGAACATATTGTTAATTTTGCGTCTCTGAGGCATCGCAGGAAAGTTGGATGAGCAAATAAACCTGGCGCCGCGATGATATCACCGCTTTTTGCTAGCCGTAGAACAAAGACGGTCACCGCATCACGCTTTATGGATGCGCTCCTGTGGCCGTCTGGAACGCTCTTTCGATATTAGGAAGGCACTGGAGCTATGCAATTTTATATCGTCTAGATTGACAAACACCCCCGATTAGCACAGTTGGCTACGTACGGTGCGAAAGAATAGGTTGAACATACATACGTACAAGACGTACATACACACCCCAAACACCCGGGGAGGCACGCTTCCGCTCAGACACAATCGGCTCACAGCGGTGTTCCACCAGTCCCAACGTAGGAAAGAAGAAGTTCAACGTACGTACATAGTACAACCCCCTCAACGATGTAGAAAATGACTTCCCAGGGGAGCCTCGCTGAGTCTCGAGACTCTCTGTGACGAGGGTCCTGTGTGGCGGCATCGGGGCCTGTACATTCAGGAGAGTTTGTGCCTTGTGGGGAGAAAAAAAAACTACCGTAGAATCCAACAAGGAAAACCCATGCCGCAAATCGGTGACGCCTGGAAATCTCTCGTGGTCATCCATTGATAACAACCAACCAGGATCAGCCTGCTTGGCTTTCAAGATCTGGCGCGTGTAGGCTGATTTGGCAGAAGCGACAGATGAGTTCAGAATCCGAATTTTTATTTATCCTCGAGAAATCCGATGAGCTATGAAGCTCTTTTTCACGGATGTCCAGTCGGGGCGGGTCAGAACGTGACAACAACAATCAGTACAAAAACATTCATCGCCCCAACTTGCCATGTGCACGGGGCACACACAAACACGGGGATGGATATTGTGGAAAAAGCTGAGGGGGGGTGGGCGTGGGGGGGACAAGACCCAATTTTATTTTGCTGCAACGCAACGGACGCCTCGATGGTCCCCCGCTGCTGGTGCTCCACGCCGCGCCCCATTTGCCACGCCACGCCGGTGCCGCCGCACCCGGGTGACAAATGCCGAGCGCTCCGCATGCCGGCATTGCGACCCGCTCGGTCGGGCGTGTGCCCCCTTCTTGCAGGCCGTGTTATTTCTGTTTTCATGCTGCAGCGCACCGTGTGTGTGTGTGCGTGTGTGTGCGCGGGCGCTTCTGAGGTTTCGGTTGCACGTGCGCGTGGCTACGTGAACCCCTTTGTGAAGGTAGCCGCGCAAAGTGAATTATTTCGTACCGCGAGCAAGGTATTGGATTCGGGCGTGCGAGGGCACGTTGAATTCCACTCCGTAATTTACGTGTGTGGATACATTGACGTACTCCATTGAGTTCCGCAGTGCTCATAGATTAGACTAATGTGGGCTGTGCGCTCTCTCCTACGTGATGCTTAGTTATTGCTCATTTAATTATCCATTGTATTTATTATGAGGTCGTAACTCAATGATCCACCAGCAATCTTCTCCGGTTAGTGCACGGCTGCGTTTCCATTTGCTTTCATTTCCTTCGTTGAGACATCACGGTAAATAAATAAATATAAATCCTTGCCGTTTAATTTATCGTGACGTCTACACGAAGGATAAGAAGTCATCGTGAGCGACCTCACAGCGTCCTCCGTACGTGAGGCCTCTGTTCTTCGTTCCACACATGGGCCCCACACACGGGCCCCACACACCAGCCCCACACACGCTCACTGCGCTGTGGGTCACCGTCTTCCACGGTCCCACGCGTGGAAGAGGCGTGCGTGGGGGGGACCGGTCGTCGGTCGGAAGCTGTCGGTGATGGAGCCACCACCACAGCTTTGTTGGCGGAACAGAGCCGCAGCGGTGGGGCCCTCGGCGACGCTTGTGGTTAGGAACCTCGCCACGACTCTGCAGCGTGTGCAAAGCGCTCTTTGGCTCACCCCACTTCGGTCCAATTGCGTCGCGCCGATCCAAGATTTGTTTCTGGGATCTCGGACGACTTAGTTGGAGGGCCGTGCAGGCCTAGGTGTAGATGTAAAAGTGTTCTTTGTATAATCGCACATCTGAGTTGAAGTGTGTCAGAGTTACTTGTTTAATTGTTTTTCGAAGCCCATAAAAAAACTACTCTCTCTGTCTATTTGAAACATTGCATTTTTAAAAGTTTTGGACTTCCTCATGTATGGATGGATGCATGTGTGTGTGTGTGGGGAGCGGTGGTGTAGCGGTTAGCACGCTGCGGTACGAACCCGGTGATCCAATTTCGATTCCCGCTCATGGCCAACACCAGTGTTGATTATCAGAACCGGTCCTGGGCCTCCCTTAAATCAACTCAGCCTCAAATGAGTACCTGGTGCAGTGTGTCGTAACTGTCGCCACTGGGGAGACAAAGGCATGGTGTCACCCACCCCCTCGTGTGCCATTCTGGCCTTCATAGGTGCTCGCTAACAATCTGTTAAGGCTACATTGGGGGGGGGGGGGGGTGTCTGTCTTTGTGTCTGTGTGTGTTATGTGTGGTATTAAAGTTGTTAGCTGGCAGACTAATTCCCACTTGCAGGCTGATGCTGAGTCGCCTCATGCCACGAAGGTACAGCTGACACTGGGGGTTCCCTTTGAACGTGTGAGGTAATATCAAACGCAAGACGCTGTGGTTTTGCCGAGGCCTTCGAGGCCTATAAATGCAAAGATTGTTACTTTTAGTAGTATTGGCAGAAGAATTAAATGTTAAACGTGAAACGGAGGTAAGCGTTTTGCCAGTCAGGCGTTGCTGCTGAAGAGCCGTTTGGTTTAAATGCCGTCTGCTTCATTGGCAATAATCTTTTTTTTCAATTTGCCAATTTGCCAATTCCGTTGTTCTTATATAAAACGGCTAAAGCAAAAGGTGTCCACATAATATGATTTTTTTAATTTCCTTAAGCCGTGCTCATGGCAGCAGAGAGGCATTGGCTCTCTTACCACGGTGGCGTTGGGGTTCATGGGTCAGTTGTTTTAGGCCAGTGACTTTAAGCATCCCATAATCTGCAATTAGGTTCCTTTTGACACTGAAAGGCTCAGATGTTTGTCCTCGTGCAGAATTCCAATTGGAAGGTTATGTCGGCCTTCATTACAGGTCCCACACACGCGTGGTATCCAATTGTATAGTGGGAATTGTCCCGGCTTCATGTATTTGCACTCCTAGCGTACGTCTGGCCTCGCCTCACTTGAACGCTGCATCCATCCGTCCGGGCGTCTGGTCCATCCCTCGTCTCTCTGTCGACCCTCCTGACTCGCGCCTCCCGTTCCGTGCCGCACAGTCGCTCCGTCGACACCCCTGCCCTGCGTGCTCCTGCTCGCGTTGTTACATCGTTCATAAGCAGCGCGTCATCCTTCTTGTTGTTTCTCAACATGGAAATGCACCGATGAATACACGTGGATTAACGATCATTGGTTGGTGGTAGAGCGGTGGCCTGTGAGTGCAGTGCACTAATCACAACCTTCGGCAGACGTGTATGGGCTCTTAACAGTGCCAAGTCTTAAAATCGCACGCTCGTAAAATGTAAAAATGTGCCCAGTTGACGCTCAGAGGTGAGCGTGCCCGTGGCATCGCTCGGCGGTTTGGTGTGCGCGCAGCTGAGCGATGGTCCGAAGCCTTCTGAAGACTGGCATTTGAGATTACGAACGCGCTCGCCTCTTACGGTTCATGATAGTCGGGCGGCGTAGTTATAGCGCGCGTCTATACTTAGAGACGCTTCGCCACACGCCGGCCTACAGGCGGCAGGGCGAGTGGCTCGTAATCGGAAGTGTGCGAGTTCTCATCCTGGCTGGGGTGGTTGACTCAACCCTCTGGGGTTAATAGAATTTGTACCAATTTGTGGAGAAGTCAACATTGGTTTATGAACATACTCACCCCTGCCAATGCGGAATTTCCACCACCGGCTCTGCAGGGCTGTAAACGGGAGGTAAGCACCACCTTAACGCCCATTTGAGCCGGGGGATCTCTTTGGCGAAAGCTTTTTCATATTGCCGATTGGCTGCGTGTGGGTGTAGGCGCAGCGTTACAAACCGTCTGTGTGTTTGTGTGCAGCTGCAGATATTGTTTTGCGGATGGACACTCGATGCACCTGTGAACACAAAGGGCTCGCGTTTCTGACTCATTACGATTGCCGCGCTCTCTCTCTCCCCCAGGCTGCTGCGCCGTCTCCTTCCCGAATCCCCTCCCGCACGTCCGCTCGGTGAGTCGCCTGCTTCACGCAATGCGATCATTTCCCTCTACCTGCGTTTTCTTTTTCGAGATGCGTTTCACGCGTGATGGAATACCTGTTCAATACACGGGCGTTGGATTTTCATAGGCAATTTTTTTTTTTTGGGGGGGGGGGGGAATCGTAGCTCGATTTTCAATTATATTTAGATCTCTGCTTGTCCCCATTGAACAATTGACACGTCTGGATCACTTTGTTAACGTTTGGAAATGTATTCTGAATTTTAAATTCTATTTTCCTATCGGATTCAGTTTTCTTATGTGTCTGGCCTCATCTGGTGCTAGTAGTGCCAGACATTTTATATTTTTTACTTATTCAGCCCATGTATCTCATTTGTCTCACCTGTCGGAGCTCCCTCGGAGGTGATATGTTTGCCTCGTTCGTCCGATCTGTCTTATCGGTTTCACCTGTCGCTGGGGTCTCGTCCAATCCCTCCTCTCACGTCTCCCCCCCCCCCCCCCTCGCACAGCGCTCCCGTCTTGCACACGCATGTTCCCAATGCCGCACCGCCGATCCGTTTTCACGCCCATTGATAAACAGTCGTGCAATTACAGTGTGTACTCTATTTGCTTATTTACATGGTAAAGCTACGCTGAGTCTGAAGACTCGTATTGAGGAGGGCCCTGCTACATTGGGGCGTTTGGCCAACAGCAGTTGTTACACTGCACGTTTTTAGCAACGGCAGGGAGCCATGAAACCCGGAGGAAATCCTCGCAGAATGAGAGGAGGACATAGAGACTTTCCCCATTGAGGACTTGAACCAAGGTCCTCCTGACTGAGACACAAGCGTTACCAAGGCACCACCCTGCTGCCCAGATTTAAATTGTTAATTTGAAGAGTGTTCTTGTTGTTGTTCTTCAATATTGAAATGCACTGATGAATACACGCGGACAATGGCCGTGGTTTTGAAGTCGTGGGGAGCGCCGCGAGTGTACTGTGTTTTTCTCAACCATCGCTAGATGTGTACAGGTTCTTAACAGCAAAGTATTCAAATCTAATGGCTGTCATTCATTGTCAACGAGCAGCATCTCAAACACGTCCACAGTGACCCGCGGGGCGGTGAACTCGCCACCCCGGCACTGCGTATATCATCAGCACGTGGGGAACACGCCGGCTGGCCGGGCTCGCGAAGGAGAGATCTCACAGCGCATCGGGTTCAAGGTCACGGTCTAGAGATCATCACAGTCAATGGCGTGGATGCCACAACACCTCACCATTGATGCATTTCTGCCGTTAAGCAGCTGACACCCGACCTCCAATGTCGCTCTTCCAGTGTCCTGCCATCTGGCTCGACGTGTCTCCTTTGGGCGCCGAGCCCCCGAGTGTCCACTCCAATAGCGGGGGCAACCCTTGTGCCTCACAGCAAGCGTCGTCTGGGTTCGAATCCTGACTCGGGTGCCTTTGTGTGTGCGGTTCACATGTTCTCCCTCTGTTCTGCATGAGTTTCCTGTATCCTCCGGACTCGGACAGTCTGGGAATTGGCAGCTGTGTTTGAGTGGAAGGAATTTGTTTTGTACCAAACTATATTATGGTTTATTGCACAGTTTTGATTGGCACGAGATTGCCTAAGAAATATATCCGGGATTGGCTTGTGGGAAAAGAATGGAAACCTGGCAAGGATAATGCAATATGATAAGGCCTGAACTAACCCAATTTGAAAACAGTAAACAAAAAAATACGAAGTAAGTAGGTTAAATTTTCGTTGTAAGCATTAACTGTTCATAGAATTTTGATGAAATAGCATGGCATGTAGTGGTTGTAATTATTGAAAAGAGGGATTTATTTCGGAAAAAAATTACTTATTTTGCTTTGAAATTGCAAAGAATGAAAACTCACAAAGCCCTGTGCTCATTGTATTTGTATTTATTGCCGGGTTTATTTGGCTGTAATTGCAGCAGATGTGTAATTGCAATAAACTCAGAGCATCCGGCGCTTAGTTTGTAGCCTGGAAACAATCGCATAGCAGGTGTGCACATCCAGCGTGAGCAGATGCTTCTCCTAACGATGAGCAGTTTCCTCTCTCCGCGCGGCTTGAATGTGCCCAGCAAACGCTCACCCTCGACCGCAGCCGGGATAGCGACACTCCGCAGCGGTCTGCTCAAATTTGGATTTGTTTACGGATGCTACATTATTTACCGAGGCTACCGTGAGGATGAAAAATGCACTGGCGCTTTTCACGACACGTGGGTTCCCCACGTGGGTCTTCTGTCCCTTGCTCGCTCAGCGTGTTCCATGCTCATCGTGTCCCTCACTCGCTCAGCGTGTCCCTCGCTCGCTCAGCGTGTCCCCCGCTCAGTGTGTCCCCCGCTCAGCGTGTCCCCCGCTCAGCGTGTCTCTCGCTCGCTCAGCGTGTCCCCCGCTCAGCGTGTCCGTCCCTCGCTCGCTCAGCGTGTCCCCCGCTCGCTCAGCGTGTCCCTCACCCGCTCAGCGTGTCCCTCACCCGCTCAGCGTGTCCCCCGCTCAGCGTGTCCCCCGCTCAGCGTGTCCCCCGCTCAGCGTGTCCCCCGCTCAGCGTGTCCCCCGCTCCGCGTGTCCCCTGCTCGCTCAGCGTGTCCCCCCGCTCAGCGTGTCCCTCGCTCAGCGTGTCCCCCACTCGCTCAGCGTGTCCCTCACTCGCTCAGCGTGTCCCCCGCTCAGCGTGTCCCTCGCTCGCTCAGCGTGTCCCCTGCTCAGCGTGTCCCTCGCTCGCTCAGCGTGTCCCTCACTCAGCGTGTCCCCCGCTCAGCGTGTCCCTCGATCGCTCAGCGTGTCCCCTGCTCAGCGTGTCCCCCGCTCAGCGTGTCCCTCGCTCGCTCAGCGTGTCGGAGTCATCGAGGCATGCCCGTCACCTCGCTCGTACGTCCTGATGAGTGGCGGCACGGTCCGCCCCCAAGCCGTAGCGATTCAGCCCAGAGGCCGGAGGGGGCCCTGTCGGCCCATGTGTGCGCATTCCATGCTCAATTCAAGACCCGTCATGGACTCTTTTCTATCACAACTTTGAGAGTGCTGCTTGTTTGTTCTTTTTGTTGTCAATCTTTTGGCCCTTTGGGGGCCGTATTCGGCAGCTGCGTTTAAAATGAGACACATGTGCGGGATACCTCATCTCCCGCAGTGCACGTTTTTGGTACTGCACTTATCGGTGTCCTCGCTCGGATCAGACGCAGGACCTTGTTTCACAGGGGTGATGTTGCGAGTGTAGTGGGTCCAACCGAGTCACAGACTCGTTCCTTTTTAGAGGGAACACATTTATTTGTAACACCGTAACACAGAGGGGTAACTGCCCCTTTACCAGATACAGCCTAGGGTGGTGACCACCCAGCTAACTACACTACACGGAGGAGTTACTGCTACGAAGGGTCGGACCCTCTCACTCGGGTCTCCGACCACGCGGTTGCCTCGTAGGACGAAGAGCTTCCCGCTAACGAAGAGAGCCCGGTCCCTCTCAGGGACCCGCCTTATATCCCTCTCCGGGCGGGGCCGTTTCGCCCTCGGCCCCGCCCGCCTTCTTGAACATTCTCGTTCCCTCTACAACATTCTCAAGAGCTCTCCCCGGACACGTGATCACCCAACCAGAGTGCCGTGGCCCGGGGCAACCCTGCCCCTGGGCTCACACTCACCCCTCCCCCTCGGGGGAGCCCCCACCACACGCTGTGCATGGTGCCCGCACTATCCAAGTGCTCGCCAAGCCCCGCTAGGGCTGGTGTCACACAGCCACCCACACGGTGCTGTCCACGCTAGGGCTGGTGTTACACACAGCCACCCACACGGTGCTGTCCCCGCTAGGGCTGGTGTCACACACAGCCACCCACACGGTGCTGTCCACGCTAGGGCTGGTGTTACACACAGCCACCCACACGGTGCTGTCCCCGCTAGGGCTGGTGTCACACACAGCCACCCACACGGTGCTGTCCACACTGGGACTGGTGTCACACACAGCCACCCACACGGTGCTGTCCCCGCTAGGGCTGGTGTCACACACAGCCACCCACACGGTACTGTCCACGCTAGGGCTGGTGTCACACACAGCCACCCACACGGTGCTGTCCACGCTAGGGCTGGTGTCACACACAGCCACCCACACGGTGCTGTCCACACTGGGACTGGTGTCACACACAGCCACCCACACGGTGCTGTCCCCGCTAGGGCTGGTGTCACACACAGCCACCCACACGGTACTGTCCACGCTAGGGCTGGTGTCACACACAGCCACCCACACGGTGCTGTCCACGCTAGGGCTGGTGTCACACACAGCCACCCACACGGTGCTGTCCACGCTAGGGCTGGTGTCACACACAGCCACCCACACGGTGCTGTCCACGCTAGGGCTGGTGTCACACACAGCCACCCACACGGTGCTGTCCACGCTAGGGCTGGTGCTACACACAGCCACCCACACGGTGCTGTCCACGCTAGGGCTGGTGTCACACACAGCCACCCACACGGTGCTGTCCACGCTAGGGCTGGTGTTACACACAGCCACCCACACGGTGCTGTCCCCGCTAGGGCTGGTGTCGCACACAGCCACCCACACGGTGCTGTCCACGCTAGGGCTGGTGTCACACACAGCCACCCACACGGTGCTGTCCACGATGTAGGATCATCGAACGGCACGACCCTTCCGGGCCGGCACCATGCAGTGATGATGTCACTACACTAGCATGAGCATCATCATCGTCGTCGTCGTCGTCCATGGTCAATCCACTGCCAGATGAAGGTCTTCGCACAAGCCACCGCCATCTCTCATAATTTTGCAACACTCCATCCAGCAGTTGCGCACGAACTGATCGACGAGTCTCCACATCTTTTCGCCTCTCCGTGTGCTGTGAAGAAAGAGCGGTTGGCCACAATGCCGCCTATCGTAGACTGTTTTTTGAACGCCCGCAGTGTTTTTAAGCGAATGTTTTGGGGGGGGGGGGGGTTTCCATCATGAATGTCAATGCACCTGCCTAGAGATGGTTTATGGAAACGATTTGAATGATCGTGATCTTGGTGAC